TGATTTGTTGTATATGAATGCACCTGCCAATTACCTGAGCAAGATAGATGCTGCGTATCACAGTGCACTGAGATTTTTGACAAATTGTAAAGCACTTACGCATCACTGTACCCTGTATACCAAGGCGGTTATGCCATCACTTACTGTACGGAGGCTCAGTCACTGCTACTTTTTCATTTACAAAGCCATGTTGGATAAACTACCATCTTATATCTGCTCCCTGATCTCTCTGCCAATTGAAAGTACTTATTGCCTGAGATCGCATGCTGTAGTTTTATTAAATGTGCCAAGTGCTAGGACTGTCTTAGGGAAGAAAGCTTTTAGATGTGCAGCTCCACTAACATGGAACAGTCTGCAAAAAGAATGGAAAATTACCAAGCTAGTACCACTACATGTTTTTAAAGCTCAGTTGGATGCTACTCAATCAGATGCTGTTGGTACCTGTACTTGTGATTAAATATGTAAATTGTAATCCCTGTACATTTTGCTGTATGATGTCCTTTTGTTGTTCTGTTGTTTATGTTTTTATGTCTTCTTGTGGAACCTACTGCTGCAGGTCTCCCTTGAAAAAGAGATCATTGATCTCAATGGGATTTTACCTGATAAATAAAGGTTTTGAATTGAATTGAATTGTATATCAGTATGTAGTGTCTCTACTTTAAAGAGTCCTCTCCTGCTGATGTTCAGGTGTATATCAGTATGTAGTGTCTCTACTTTAAAGAGTCCTCTCCTGCTGATGTTCAGGTGTATATCAGTATGTAGTGTCTCTACTTTAAAGAGTCCTCTCCTGCTGATGTTCAGGTGTATATCAGTATGTAGTGTCTCTACTTTAAAGAGTTCTCTCCTGCTGATGTTCAGGTGTATATCAGTATGTAGTGTCTCTACTTTAAGAGTCCTCTCCTGCTGATGTTCAGGTGTTTATCAGTATGTAGTGTCTCTACTTTAAAGAGTCCTCTCCTGCTGATGTTCAGGTGTATATCAGTATGTAGTGTCTCTACTTTAAAGAGTTCTCTCCTGCTGATGTTCAGGTGTATATCAGTATGTAGTGTCTCTACTTTAAAGAGTCCTCTCCTGATGATGTTCAGGTGTTTATCAGTATGTAGTGTCTCTACTTTAAAGAGTCCTCTCCTGCTGATGTTCAGGTGTATATCAGTATGTAGTGTCTCTACTTTAAAGAGTCCTCTCCTGCTGATGTTCAGGTGTATATCAGTATGAGTGTCTCTACTTTAAAGAGTCCTCTCCTGCTGATGTTCAGGTGTGTATCAGTATGTAGTGTCTCTACTTTAAAGAGTCCTCTCCTGCTGATGTTCAGGTGTATATCAGTATGTAGTGTCCTCTACTTTAAAGAGTCCTCTCCTGCTGATGTTCAGGGGTGTATATCAGTATGTAGTGTCTCTACTTTAAAGAGTCCTCTCCTGCTGATGTTCAGATGTATATCAGTATGTAGTGTCTCTACTTTAAAGAGTCCTCTCCTGCTGATGTTCAGGTGTATATCAGTATGTAGCGTCTCTACTTTAAAGAGTCCTCTCCTGTTGATGTTCAGGTGTATATCAGTATGTAGTGTCTCTACTTTAAAGAGTCCTCTCCTGCTGATGTTCAGATGTATATCAGTATGTAGTGTCTCTACTTTAAAGAGTCCTCTCCTGCTGATGTTCAGGTGTTTATCAGTATGTAGCGTCTCTACTTTAAAGAGTCCTCTCCTGTTGATGTTCAGGTGTATATCAGTATGTAGTGTCTCTACTTTAAAGAGTCCTCTCCTGTTGATGTTCAGGTGTATATCAGTATGTAGCGTCTCTACTTTAAAGAGTCCTCTCCTGCTGATGTTCAGGTGTATATCAGTATGTAGTGTCTCTACTTTAAAGAGTCCTCTCCTGTTGATGTTCAGGTGTATATCAGTATGTAGTGTCTCTACTTTAAAGAGTCCTCTCCTGTTGATGTTCAGGTGTATATCAGTATGTAGCGTCTCTACTTTAAAGAGTCCTCTCCTGTTGATGTTCAGGTGTATATCAGTATGTAGTGTCTCTACTTTAAAGAGTCCTCTCCTGTTGATGTTCAGGTGTATATCAGTGTGTAGTGTCTCTACTTTAAAGAGTCCTCTCCTGCTGATGTTCAGGTGTATATCAGTATGTAGTGTCTCTACTTTAAAGAGTCCTCTCCTGCTGATGTTCAGGTGTATATCAGTATGTAGTGTCTCTACTTTAAAGAGTCCTCTCCTGCTGATGTTCAGGTGTATATCAGTATGTAGTGTCTCTACTTTAAAGAGTCCTCTCCTGCTGATGTTCAGGTGTATATCAGTATGTAGTGTCTCTACATGTCTCCATGCTTTAATGTTCAAAAAGCTCTTTATTTTTCTCATACTGTCTGTACTGCAGCTCCTCTTTTCACCCTCTGTCTGAAACCAGAGCCCAGTCTGCTCTGATTGGTTAGCTGGCCGGCTCTGTTGTGATTGGTCAACTGCTTAGAGATGTCCCGCCCCTTAACCACGTACAATGTGTTGGAGCGCTAGCCAAAATAAGCTTGTTGTGATGTCACTAATTTCCAGAAGTAATCAAAGGAGTCCAATTTAGACGTTTCAGGCCCAAAACCATGTTATCTGAGAATCACCTGGTAACAACAATTCATAAATGTTATGTTTTGTATTCTAAAAGCATGAATTTAACCTCAAACATGACCAAACTGAATGTCCTTGATATCCAAAAATATCCACTCTCTTCAAATCTGACAACTGCTCCTCCAAAAGGACAACACTAGACATGTTTAAAGCATTTAACCTTCACCAATGCACAGCACATGATATCATCTTCCTGCAGCGGATGATATTTGTGGAGGAAGTCTGAGTTTTTCCCTCACAGATGTCTACATTTCCCTTATCTCACTTTACATGCACCAGCTCTGCAGTAACACTAGAATTATGATCATGTCGGATGGTGTGACCTTTGCATTCAATATGTACTCCGGAAATAGGGCGGCGTCACATTGGAAAGGCTTTGAATGAATACATTTCAGCAGCAGTGGGTTTTTTCTGCAGAATATTAATGTGGTGACCAGAGGTGGGAAGTAGTGGAGTACAAATACTTCGTTACTATAATTAAGTACATTTTTATGGTACCAGTACTTTACTTATTTATCTGATGACTTCTTACCTTGACTTCTTACATTTTGAACACAAATACCTGTACTTTCTACTTCTTACATGTTGAACCCAAATACCTGTACTTTCTACTTCTCACATGTTGAACTCAAATATCTGTTCTTTCTACTTCTTACATGTTGAACCCAAATACCTGTACTTTCTACTTCTTACATGTTGAATTCAAATACCTGTACTTTCTACTTCTTACATGTTAACACTAATACCTGTACTTTCTACTTCTTACATGTTGAACTCAAATACCTGTACTTTCTACTTCTTACATGTTGAACTCAAATACCTGTACTTTCTACTTCTTACATTTCCCAAACAGGCTGGTTCCTTTAGTTTGAATGTGTGTTTCAGGGCCGGCCCTAGACTTTTGGAGGCCCTAAGCGAGCTTTGGCTTGGGGGCCCCCCTCACTCTAGCGCGTTCTCACTACACACAACACGGAACCAACTTTTGTCTTATGATGCATAAGCACACATATTGTAAGCAAGCATGTAAACACAGTGGACCTAACATCCTCTAGAGGGGTCCTCACCTGCTCTAGGGGGTCTGGGGGCATGCTCCCCCTGGAAGATTTTTTTTTAAATATTGAAGTTGAAAGCATCAATCTGGCGCACTTTGAGAGCAAAATGAAGAGAACTATGGATACATCTCTCAACACTCAGATGAAACAGAACTGGAAACAGATTTTTCTTTATGGATATTTTACAAATCACTCCCCTTTTAAACTGTATTCTTGTTTTGTCATAAAGTATTTCATAACTGTTTTTCATTTATTCTCTCTGGCTGTCCACCTCATAATGTTCACACAGAAACTAGCTCTCAATAGGAATGTCATTCAGAAGAATTATAATTTCATGCAAAAATCTGTCGCAAAAAGAGGTTGCACATTTCAATTCAGGTGTTGTTATGGCAACGTCAGTGGTCAAACAGCCACATTTACGGCTGCAAATATGATTATTTAATGCTGTCGGCACGTAGAGCAGTGGCAACTATGCCACCATTTCAGCTGACTTTTTCTCAGAAATACTGTGTCACATAACATCCATATATTTCAGTGCTAGGTTGATGCTTAGCTAACTATGAAACACTTTAACTGACAGGACTCAGGATCAACTGTGTACTGTAAGGTAGCTTCGAGCATCATGTCGAACAGTAAGTCAACATTTTCCCAGAGAGCTTTCTTTGAAATCACCAGGTAACGCTAAACAACATTACATTTAGATTGTATGACAAAGTGTTTATTTAATATCTCTGGCTAGCTATAGCTACTTGCTAACGGTTTAGCTTAACCCCGCGATTCAAAGTAACGTCAACGTAGCTGTAATTTATGCTTTGCTTACATGTTTGCATAACTTGGAAGTTTACTGACATTGACATACCTTGTTTACCTGGCTCAAGTGGTGGCACTGGGGTTGTTGTGTGAGCCACCACTTGAGAATTGTCGTCTTTTATAAGAACAAATGTTCTTATGTCCATCTTCAAAAACTCTGAGTCCGACTGACAGTTTAAACATTGTCACAGCTCACAGGACAGGTACCTCTCAGCCAATAAGACAGATGTTTATTTCCATTCAACTCTCTGGTTGGTCTGGTGCCTTGCCTCTGTTGCATTCACTGAACACAGGAAATTACAATCCTTACATAAGTAAGTAAAACATCTTTAAATGTTAGTAGATTGTAGCAGGATGAGCAGTAAATAGTGTTGTAAGGCCTATTCTTTTTAGCCTATCACCGCCAGGGGGCACCCTATAAAGGGGCAGAGGCTTCTAGCTGGCGGCCTCTTGTTCGCTGGTGCCCAGACCTACCCACTTCCGCTCTTGCCGTGTTTTGCTTCCGCCACCGGTGTAGGTATGTTGTAGGAGAATAGCTGGCTTCAGGTAAAGTTTCACAATTCTCTATCATACTTACGTGTAGTCACGTTTTGTTTTGTATAGCGGAGGGTCTTCCTGGCGATGCCCGTCAAGTAGCCGTAACATAGAGAGCATGAAACTCTCTCCTCTCTGCCTGATCGGTATGTACGGCGATTTGTTCAGTCCATTCACCACACCTTTCCTGAACATTAATATTATACTTGTGTGTTTATTGTTAATCTAGGGCCAAGCTAAGGCTTTAAAGAACCGCTGCTGTTTTGCTGCACCGAAAAGAGACGGGTTTCTGGCGCAGGGTCATCACCCGTACTGCTGATCCTGTGTGACTGTTTTTATAAATTGTATTTTTACTATTGTATACAAATAAACTGTTCTATTTTTGATAATTGGACCACGTCTCTTGTTCCATGAGTAACCGAACCTGTGTGTCCTAGTGACTTAAAACTTGTCACATTTCCCTGGGTGAAATTCCCGGGGTGGCGTTGTCGGACTTAGTGGTTTAACCAAACTGTTAAATTAATATATTTATTCTGCGGCCACTGCTCCAAACTGTGTATGTCTATTTATTCAGATGTTCCTAGTCCAGAGCCAGATATTTAATCTTCTTCTGAACAATGCTTTCCATATTCTCTCTCTCCGTCTCCCTCTCTTTGGGTTCTCTCTAGTCCTGACCCTGTGTGAGTTTCAGGATCTCCAGAGTTGTCAGTTCCTGTTACTGCTGAGCGAGCTGAATGAGAGCAGAGAGACGGAGGGCATGAAAGGAGAAGATGTAGACGAAGAGAAGGAGAGGAAGAAGTGAGTGAAGCACGAGCAGCAGAACAAGTAAAGAGAACAGGAAGAGAGCGAGAGAGAGAAGACAGAACTGAGGTAATGATATTCAGAGAAAGGGCCTTTTAGGACGTGTCACTGTGGCACTCTATTTCTTACAGAAGAGGATCTGACCAAGAGTGAATTGTTTTGGTTCAGGATTCTTAGAATAAATTCAGAATTCTGACAGTTTTAAGAATTCTGATTTGATCAAAAATAATTCTGATTTGTTTTCCCCAAAGTTCAATTTTTTCTTCAGAATTTTGACTTCTGTATGATTATGGAATTCTGTCTTCAATTCTATTCAAAATGTTTTCTGAATTTTGACTTTAATCACAGAATTTAAATAGTTTGTCAGAATTTCGACATTTTTAAGAATTCTGTTTTTTCAGAACTACATTTTTTTTTCTTCAGAAGTCTAAAAAGTCTTGGCCCTAATCGTTTTCTGTAATTTATGCTGCATTGAAAAAAGCCTAGAAAATGGAAAACAATAAAGATTCTGATGCTGATTGATCCCTTTCTGATCTTGCATATCACACTTGAACACACACAGATCTGAGAAACACACACAAAGCTCCACAGGCTCACGCACGCACACACACACACACACACACACACACACACACACACACACACACACACACACACACACACACACTCTGACTGACTGAAGCAGCCCTTATTATCTGCGGCAGACCAACCTTGTTAACCCTGACTTGTAAAAAGACAACAGAGCGGTGAAAACAAGAGGAAGGGAGGCGAGAAAAAGATAATAGAAGAGGAGAAGAGAGAGAGAGAGAGAGAGAGAGAGACCTGACAAAGGGAAATCCGCCCACTTTGCCTTTGTGAAGCCGAACCACCAACAGATTCTCTCTCTATCGTCACTGTGGCTCATTGTTCTCTATGCACCATGTTTCGAGAGAGTACACCTACTTAGCAACATATCGACCATCTGATTGATCTTTGTTTCAACAATCAAATATATAATTGATTCACTAACATGATACAGATGTGTGCAACTACACAAGTATATGAAGGATGCTTGACACACACTAACAGTTAGTTATTAAATGTCTTAGTTTAATTCTGATTGGCCAATTTGGACATTTCATAGATCGTTACATGACCCATGCTAAGTAAGCAGGAGAGGACTCTTTAAAGTAGAGACACTACATACTGATATACACCTGAACATCAGCAGGAGAGGACTCTTTAAAGTAGAGATATTACATACTGATATACACCTGAACATCAGCAGGAGAGGACTCTTTAAAGTAGAGACACTACATACTGATATACACCTGAACATCAGCAGGAGAGGACTCTTTAAAGTAGAAACACTACATACTGATATACACCTGAACATCAGCAGGAGAGGACTCTTTAAAGTAGAGACACTACATACTGATATACACCTGAACATCAGCAGGAGAGGACTCTTTAAAGTAGAGACACTACATACTAATATACACCTGAACATCAGCAGGAGAGGACTATTTAAAGTAGAGACACTACATACTGATATACACCTGAACATCATCAGGAGAGGACTCTTTAAAGTAGAGACACTACATACTGATATACACCTGAACATCAGCAGGAGAGGACTCTTTAAAGTAGAGACACTACATACTAATATACACCTGAACATCAGCAGGAGAGGACTATTTAAAGTAGAGACACTACATACTGATATACACCTGAACATCATCAGGAGAGGACTCTTTAAAGTAGAGACACTACATACTGATATACACCTGAACATCAGCAGGAGAGGACTCTTTAAAGTAGAGACACTACATACTAATATACACCTGAACATCAGCAGGAGAGGACTCTTTAAAGTAGAGACACTACATACTGATATACACCTGAACATCAGCAGGAGAGGACTCTTTAAAGTAGAGACACTACATACTGATATACACCTGAATATCAGCAGGAGAGGACTATTTAAAGTAGAGACACTACATACTGATATACACCTGAACATCAGCAGGAGAGGACTCTTTAAAGTAGAGACACTACATACTGATATACACCTGAATATCAGCAGGAGAGGACTCTTTAAAGTAGAGACACTACATACTGATATACACCTGAACATCAGCAGGAGAGGACTCTTTAAAGTAGAAACACTACATACTGATATACACCTGAACATCAGCAGGAGAGGACTATTTAAAGTAGAGACACTACATACTGATATACACCTGAACATCAGCAGGAGAGGACTCTTTAAAGTAGAGACACTACATACTAATATACACCTGAACATCAGCAGGAGAGGACTCTTTAAAGTAGAGACACTACATACTGATATACACCTGAACATCAGCAGGAGAGGACTCTTTAAAGTAGAGACACTACATACTGATATACACCTGAACATCAGCAGGAGAGGACTCTTTAAAGTAGAGACACTACATACTGATATACACCTGAACATCAGCAGGAGAGGACTCTTTAAAGTAGAGACACTACATACTGATATACACCTGAACATCAGCAGGAGAGGACTCTTTAAAGTAGAGACACTACATACTGATATACACCTGAACATCAGCAGGAGAGGACTCTTTAAAGTAGAGACACAACTTGTACATGATATTCCAGATGCAATCATAGCAAAAACACTATTTATTGATTTATATACCTATAATTACAGTAATCCATGTGAGCTTCCCTCTTTTACTGAGTCTGTTTCCATCCAATTAAGTACTCTACTTGATTTCAGGAGCCATCGTTTAACCCAGCGTGATTACAAACATTTATCCAGCTCAGGTGTCATTGAGCGAAAGATTCTGCGTGACCCTGAGCTCTGACCTCTGACAGGAATCAATGAAGAATCACATTACACTTAAACTGTGAGGAGGAAGACTCTCAGAGCAAAGGGGCCGAATTAGCTCTGATTACAAAGAAAATACACAAAGACAACAATGTTTTATTAGTCTTAGTTGGAAATTAGTGTGTGTGTGTGCGTGTGTGTGTGTGTGTGTGTGTGTGTGTGTGGTGTGTGTGTGTGTGTGTGTGTGTGTGTGTGTGTGTGTGTGTGTGTGTGTGTGTGTGTGTGTGTGTGTGTGTGTGTGGGATAGAAACAGACAATGTGTGTTAGAGGTGGGTTGGTTACAGTGGTGTAAAGTAACTAAGTACATTTACTCAAGTTCAATGTACTTTACATGAGTATCTCAGAGGTACATGGTGTACTTCTCCTCCACTACATGTATTTAATCCCTTTAGTTACTTCACAGATCTGGATGAATGATGTGAAATCTAATCACGTGTTGAATCAGACTTTAGTTCCACCTGGAGTAAACCCACCAGCTACCCTGCAGTATACAAAGCCATTCAAACTAGCTGCACCTTCACCAGCTTTGAGAACACTTTCATGATCAATCATTATAAAACATATCATATATATTATTCTGAAATGGACCAATCTGCACAACGACTACTTTTACTGTCGCTACTTTCACTATATTTTGATGAGAATACTTTTCTACTTTTACTTGAGGAACATTTTGAATACAGGACTTTTACTGAAACAGAGTATTCCTACACTCTGGTACTTCTACTTTTACTCAAGTACAAGATCTGAGTGCTTCTACTTTTACTCAAGAACAAGATCTGAGTACTTCTACTTTTACTCAAGTACAAGATCTGAGTACTTCTACTTTTACTCAAGTACAAGATCTGAGTACTTCTACTTTTACTCAAGTACAAGATCTGAGTACTTCTACTTTACTCAAGTACAAGATCTGAGTACTTCTACTTTTACTCAAGTACAAGATCTGAGTACTTCTACTTTTACTCAAGTACAAGATCTGAGTACTTCTACTTTTACTCAAGTACAAGATCTGAGTACTTCTACTTTACTCAAGTACAAGATCTGAGTACTTCTACTTTTACTCAAGTACAAGATCTGAGTACTTCTACTTTTACTCAAGTACAAGATCTGAGTACTTCTACTTTTACTCAAGTACAAGATCTGAGTACTTCTACTTTACTCAAGTACAACATCTGAGTACTTCTACTTTACTCAAGTACAAGATCTGAGTACTTCTACTTTTACTAAGTACAACATCTGAGTACTTCTTTCATCTTCAGTTGTTCATTAAAGTGGTTGTATAAGCCGGATGTATGAATAAAGCTGCTTTCTGTCAGAGATCTGGAGTTCACACACACACACACACACACACACACACACACACACACACACACACACACACACACACACACACACACACACACACACACACACACACACCGTGGTGCAGTGACAATGCAGAGGGATAACAATGCAATTCAAATGGGATATATTTGGTTGAGAGAGGAGGAGAGACAAGTAAAGAAAGCAGAGGATAAAAATAGCAGCGGAGCCACGGATGGAAATAGAAAGTGAGATAATTCAAAAGAGATGAAGTAGAGTAGAAGAGAGGACTCACGGAGGCAGGTGTTCTCCGTGAAGAACTCAGTGAGCTTGTCACACTCGTCCTTGTTGTTTCCGCTGTTGTTGCAGTCGCAGAACGGAGAGACGCTGATTTTAGCAGAGCGCAGGTAGTTGGGAGTCATCACGGTACCTGAAGCAGAAACAGGAAGACAGTCATCGGTATTCAGTCAGGCATTCAATGGATTACATGTAACAGGATAATGAGGATACACAAGATAACCCTTACAGTTTGAACTCCTGATTTTGATGCATTTTGGGTCGATGTTAAAGTCTTAGGGGACTCAAAACTGTTATTTTGATCCTACACATGTCAGGAAGTGATTCAACATTCTCAATATACCTAAAAAACCACACGAAAATGTTCAAATCGTCCAAGCAATTTTGTAGCTATTGATTGCATATGCTAATTACCACGACGTATTCTAATTGTGCAAATTGTCCAACATATGCAAGTTAGCATCCGGTTAGCATACATTTCTGAAGTCAAACCTCTCTGTCTGTAACAACACCAATATGCTGCTGGATTTCAACTAAATAAAGAATATTTAAACCCCCTTTAGACTCAGTTATCCTCCTCCTTCTGGGTTAAATGGTGAATGTAACCATAACGAAGTGAAATCTTGTGTTCTCCCTCTCCACGTGCTGAAGTCTCTGCAGGAGGCTTTAATGCAGAGGATGAAGAGTTGGCCTGAGAGGGAAGGTAAATCGCCTCAGTCAGTGATTTCTCTCCAACCAATAGATTGTTCTCTTGTTCTGGCTGCCCTCCAAAAAACAGGCCTTTCAGTTTTGCAGTATGCAGAAAGACTTGGCGCTGTGTGTGTGTGTGTGTGTGTGTGTGTGTGTGTGTGTGTGTGTGTGTGTGTGTGTGTGTGTGTGTGTGTGTGTGTGTGTGTGTGTGTGTGTGTGTGTGTGTGTGTGTGTGTGTGTGTGTGTGTGTGTGTGTGTGTGGTCTCGTTTAGTGACTTGATTGTATCTTGACGGTGCAGTCGTGTTAAGGACATCATGTGACAGTGATTGTCACAGAGTGGGGTTAAACCAGGATTTAGATTTATGAGATTCGGTCAAATTTGTATAAAAGTTATGATTTACTGTGTGTTCACCGAATGATGCAAGACACGGATGGGCCATCCTTGTGATCTGGAGAATCACAGAACGGCCGTAAGTCCAGGGCAGCTGACGGCCCGGCACGATGATTATATTTAATCTTTTCATTAATGTGAAACCTTAAGTTTCACATTGAGAGGCGACAACACTAATGCAAACGTTTGGTAAGTACTGGCCAATAGAAAATATCTTCTATAGTATTAGGAGTTCAGATTCAGGCGCTCCTACATGCTAGGAAAAACTATATTTTCAGTTCACATGAAGGGGTCGTACAGATGCTGAGAAAGTGCTCAATTCCAATCTTGTCCACATGCCTAATGTTCTAATTGCAACGAGGGTTGTGTCCAGAGTATAAAGTAACCTTTTCAAGTCGGACAGAGGCTGAGATGCACCCTGGTGAATCTTATTAGTTAAAAACCAGAATATGAAGTAATAACCAAGCAGAGTTTGGGGTGGTTATACAGCAGCAGCAGCAGCAGCTGTGGTTTTCAGCAGATCTAATGAAGCTAAACAGTGGGGAATAAACGGCGCTGCACATCTCAGAGGCTGCAGGTTTATCATGAAGTGATGGAGCTTGTTATATTATAAAGCAGCAGTGCAGCAGATACTGTGAGAGTCTCCTTGCCAGGGGCGGACTGGCCACCGGGACGTTCGGGACGAATCCCGATGGGCCGGTACTGAAGTGGGCCGGTCGGACGATGTGGGCCAGTCGGATAAGTCACTCGCACCCCGCCGTCGACAATTTACTAGCGGTAATTACTTGCGGTACCGAGGTGGTCGAGAGTCCCGGGCTGATTTGTAGTCCCAATCCGCCCCTGCTCCTTGCTTACAGAGGTCGCCACTCAGTGACAATATTTGACCTTCCCACAAAAAAACGATAATCCTCAATATTGGAGTCAATATTCTGAGATAAATCTGACCAATAGGAGCGACTCACCGACTATACCGGAGTAGGACAGCAGGCAGTCGGCGTAGTTCTCTTTCAGACAGCCGGACAGAGAGCGAGGCTCCGGCTGACAGTTCACGAAGAAATCAGCCAGTCGTGACCTGAAACACACACACACACACACATACCATGTATACATCACTTCAGGGGACATTACATTGACTTACATGCATTTCCTGGAGACATTGTGTATGCTACAGGAACACAGTGCTTTAGTTATTGTTGAATCAAGCTGGAAACGGACACGATAGTTCGCTCACGTTGTCAGAAAACAGTGATTTGTGTGAGGGTTAGTCTTCATTATGTTTAACAAAAGTAAAAGCCATCCTGAAATCTTCCTTACAGTGTGGCTCGATCATCTTATCAGTTGATAAACTATTTTAGTATCGATCTATGGGGCATTATAGCTCGCCATGCTGCTCTGCTGGCGCTGTGTTTAGCATGATTAGCACGTCGCTTTTACCCACCAGGTAAAGAGTTTGAAGCCACGACAATACATGTGTTACAAGGACCAGCTCCGAACGACTCCAGCAGTGTTTAAAAAACTCCCCAAACACTTTTCAAGAACACGGTTTTTGGAGGAGAGCAGCTTTTCTGTGTTTATCTGAAGGAGACAGTGACAGGGAAGCATTGCACCAACACACTCACATTCATATCATATTGATATAGACTTCTTGCACTATTTTTAATTGTTGTAATGTATTATATATGTTGCATTGTTGGAGGAGCTCAGGTCAGAAGAATTTTATTGCCATTTCTACACTGTAGCTTATTTGCATATGACATTAAAACCTTTGAAAACCTCACAGTGTATCTAATCTCAGCAATCTGCTGCAGTGTGTAGTGAGAGTTGTCAACAGCAGCGCTACACTCCACCTGACATATGGTGAGGGAGCTGCTGCTGGAAATGCACGGCTCTAATCTCTCTGTGCTGACTGACAAATGGACTGGGAGGAAGCTGTGGTGCAGCGAAACCTGTGGTTCAGCCCCGAGCGTCTGTCTGACGGAGAGACAGAGAAACAAGACGGAGATAGAAAGTCTCGGAGCAGACCAACCTCACGGTGAGTAGAGAGAGAGAGAGAGACCTGAGGCCACGCAGCAAATGGAGCTCATTTATGATGCCTAATGCTTCCATTTAATCCCAGAGAGCCACAGGACACACACACACACACACACACACACACACACACACACACACACACACACACACACACACACACACACACACACACACACACACACACACACACACACACACACACACACACACACACACACACACACACACACACACACACACACACCATCAAATGAAGGTGATGTTAAATGTCTAACACTGAATTGCTCATTCTGTTTATTTGCAAGTGAGGGAACAATGGAGCGTGAGACGGGCCGGAGAATCGGAGCAGCGGGAGCGGTACTGCAGTCGCTTTACCGCACCGTTGTAACGAAAAGGGAGCTGAGCCAGAAGGCAAAGCTCTCTGTCTACCGGGCCATTTTCCTTCCTACCCTCACCTATGGTCATGAAGGATGGGTCATGACCGAAAGAACGAGATCGCGGATACAAGCGGCCGAGATGGGTTTTCTCCGCAGGGTGGCTGGCGTCTCCCTTAGGGATAAGGTGAGAAGTTCGGTCATCAGGGAGGGACTCGGAGTTGAGCCGCTCCTCCTTCGCGTCGAAAGGAGCTAGTTGAGGTGCTTCGGGCACCTAGTTAGGATGCCACCTGGGCGCCTCCCTAGGGAGGTGTTCCAGGCACGTCCAGCTGGGAAGAGACCGAGGGGTAGACCTAGGACCAGGTGGAGGGATTATATCTCTTCTCTGGCCTGGGAGCGCCTTGGGACCCCCCAGTCAGAGCTGGTTGATGTCGCCAGGGAAAAGAAAGTTTGGGGCTCTCTGCTGGAACTGATACCCCCGCGACCCGACCACGGATAAGCGGGAGAAGATGGATGGATGTTTCTTTGCATGTGTTTAAGGCCCCGTCCACACGGACACGAAACGGGTTGTATCCGCAACAGTTCTCTTGTTTGTTTGTAGCCTTTATTTAACCAGGTGAAGCCCCTTGAGATCAAACGATCTCTTTTTCAAGGTGACCTGCAGGACATTAGTTACACATGTAACATAAAAACAACAGAACAACAATTAGGATGACAAACAACATAATGTGCAGGGTACAGTTTACAAACTCTATTTACAGAGACAGGTACCATGAGTATCAAATAGCATGTCAGCCAGCTGAGTTTTAAAATGATGCAGGGGAACCAAAGTGCTCAGTTTTAAATATGTTTGCAGATTGTTCCATGTTAGTGGAGCTGCACAACTAAAAGCTTTCTTCCCTAAGACAGTCCTAGCACTTGGCACATTTAATAAAACAACATCATGAGATCTCAGGCAATAAGTACTTTCAATTAGTCGAGAGATCAGAGAGCAGATATAAAAAGGTAGTGTACTCAACATGGCTTTGTAAATGAACATGTACCAATGACTGAGCCTCCGTACAGTTAGTGAAGGCAGACCTGCCTTGGCATACAGGGTGCAGTGATGAGTAAGTGCTTTACTGTTAGTAACACATCTCAGGGCACTGTGATAGGCGGCATCTAACTTTTCCAGGCAATGGGTAGGTGCATTCATATAGATCAGATCACCATAGTCCAGCACTGGTACAGTAACTAGTGACCTTCTCTATCGTATGGACGGTTCGTTCACACGAGGCCGTAACGGAACCGGGGAAAACGGAGCCCTCAAAGGGTAACGGGTCCCAAGGTGGGTAGGTCTGCGGACGTAATGCTCCGTGTGTACGCCTTATACGCCATAGCCCCGCCTCTCCTGCTCACCCCCGCGTCATTGCTGATGTGTTTCGCCAACAACAACAACAACAGTGTTCCGAGTGTTTCGAGCCAGGTCCCGGTATCTTGCAGGACAGTGCACCCGGCAGGAGCCTCCAGCAGACCCCACCGCACGGTTCCCTCGTCCCTTGGAAGAGGCGGAGAGGTGGGTGTTCTTCATCTGCTGGTGGACTACCGGGGAGAACGTCCTGTTCGGGAGCCAGGCTCAGAGTTAGTGGCAGCTGCCTTTTACAGCAGGAGCACACGCTCGCCTCGGGAGGGAGAAAAAGAGAAACAGAGGCCGCCGAAACAGCCAGAGCCCTGCCTCTCCCCACCTCTGCTGCTCACCCCCGTGTCACCGCTGAATCCACCGCGGAGAACAAACAGAAGGGGAACCAGGCAACCATGGCAACCATGCTCGGGGGGTCTTATTCGCTGCTTTTGGTGTATTTTGTGGCGGAAGTACAGCGCCACTTATAGGCCCGGCATATGTACTACAGCGTCTCCAGCGGGTCGAGCGGTCTCGTGTGGACGGACACGTTTCTTGAGCCGATACCGTGTGGACGAAATACTTTTTTGATATCGAATTCGGTTTGTTCTCCGTTTCGTCTCCGTGTAGATGCAGCCTGTGTGTGTGTTAACTAGCCTCTAACATTTGGTTTGTCACGGTCACATGACTTCACGTCACCACTGCTAAGCTAAAGGCGGCTAATGTTGGGCTATAAAGGAACTACATCACGGTCACATGACTTCACGTCACCACCGCTAAGCTAAAGGTGGCTAATGTTGGGCTATAAAGGAACTACAGCACGGTCACATGACTTCACGTCACCACCGCTAAGCTAAAGGTGGCTAATGTTGGCCAGGATGACGTTTAGTCGTCTCATTTAGACACTTGTTGGCAACCTCTGTTTTTAAAATCACCAGAGGGGTATTTACTGACGTATTTTATGTCGTAGAACAAAGTATCTTCAGCTTGTGTTAACCACAGACCTTATTTCAGGCTAACAACCAAAAACAGATACAAACAAACATTGATTTACCAGACGAGGGAGCTCGAAAGTGCTAAAATGCTGACTCATTTTAGCACTTTCGAGCTCCCTCGTCTGTATTGTCTGCAAAACTACCCTCAGTGTTTCCTACCTGCAGATGTAGTTGGTCTTGCAGGACGCCTGCAGCTCCAGACAGTTTGGTTTCTGCTTCTCTTCGTAGGAGCAGACGGGCACGATGGTCTGCCGCCGGCGCTCAGAGCAGGCCGACTGGTCGCTCACCGGACACGAGCAGTACAGCATCCCATAACTGTGCTTCGGAGGAACCTGAGGGACACAAGAGTCACACATTAACTGGAGAACTGTAGAAGTGGAGAGCAAGAACGTCCTTCTCTTTCCTGTTGAGTAACTTCCTGCTGTATATTCTTAGAGGAAGGGTGGAGCATCGGCCAAGGAAGAACCATTACATTCTGGATCCAAATCAAAAGCCGGACACAACGTTGTTGGTCCCCTTTACCCGCTGGAGTTCAGCAAACAGACTATTTTTATTATATCCAGGTATTCAGATCTCGTCCTATCAGACACCACCGTGTTTCTCATTAACGTGAAATAGACAGAACTTAGACTTAGACATACTTTATTGTCATTTCAACAAGACACAGAGTGTACTATTAAAACGTTGTACTGGCTTACAGGAACAGGACAATATAAAAACTTGCTAAAATTGTACATATACATAAATAATAGTGACATGGTGCTGATAAAGTTAAAGAAAGTGTGTGTTTAAATGAATGAATGACTTTCTCTTTCAACACCACTCTGACTTTTGACTCTTCATCTGAATTAATTATCATTTTGGTTTGGAAATCACTCTCTATCTGAACTGTTAGGATGTGCTGGCTGCTTTCCCTAAACACAAATATTACTAAAACCCATGGGGGGAGGGGAATATACAAATCATATTAATGATGACGAGCAGAAACACACACACGGACTGCAGGTCTGTTCTCTATGAGTCCACTTCTAGTTTTATTTACATTTTTTAAACCTTTTTCTTTGGATATTCTGTCAATAAAGTTGTGTTTTTTTTGGTTGAAAACAAACAGTGGCTAATGCTGTACATAAGAGGATTAGTGTGACGTGCTTTTTCTTTAAGATCTGACCAAAAGTGAATTATGAGAAAAAGAAAACAGATTTCTTTGCCGAAAAATCTTGGAATTCTGACTTTTTTCTATGAATTCTGACTGAATCAAAACGGAAATGTAAAACTCAGAGAGGACTGGAAGATGTTCCAATAGAGTATTTTAAGACTGTAGTATTTGTACTTGTGCTGAAGTAGAGTATCTGATTACTTCTTCCAACCCTGTTAATAGTGTAGTAACACATTAGGGGCTACAATAGAAGAATGTCATCATAGTTGTATCCCAGAAACTATAGGCTGTTTACACAAAGTTGTCTGCAGTGATGAAAGAACACACAATCACAACGAGACGAACGCTGTCATGCCATCTCTGAGCTTTCCACTTATTCATGTTGAAGCAATCCCAGTTAAGTTATTCCAAAGGGACGTGATGGGAGCTGGGTTGTAATTACAATATTTTTCTTCACACAATATGCCACTGACGGCGAAAACAGCTTTTGTGTTTGATGACTGAATCGATGTCAAAGCTCGGCGCTGGAAAAGCAAAGTCTGAACAAAAAGACCCGGCATGATTATTTATCGTGCTTTTTGACAACCCGTCTGACTTCAGAATTACTATTCCTTTTGAAGCTGGTGTGCATTCGGCTTTTATCAGATATCAGTCGCTTGGAAAACCTCCAGCAGCATGTGGGCTTTTCAGAGTTTTGATTGAGTCAGAAGTGGCTTCAATCAAACAATCGATCAATCAACAACTTTATTATTCCTGCAAGGGGCAATTGGTTGTGAGCAGCTTATGTCATGAACACAGGTAGGAACATACTGGATGTGGATCATTCCAATTTACACCATAAATAGTTCAGAGCATCACAATAAACAAGTAGATGAATAATCAAGTTAAAAAACCTTTCTAGAATTTAAAGGTTTGAGTTCAGAGGGGATGAATGATTTTGAAAAGCGATGTGTTTTAAGAGCAGGCAGAGCATATCTACGCCCTGATGGCAACAGAGGAAATGAATCTGCAAGAACCTGGAGCTGGTTACAAAAGGAGTTTAAGTCTCTCTGTGTTCACACTTCAGAGGTGGGAAGTAATGGAGTACAAATACGACTTTTTACTTTGACTTCTTACATGTTGAACACAAATACCTGTACTTTCTACTTCTTACATGTTGAACACAAATACCTGTACTTTCTACTTCTTACATGTTGAACACAAATACCTGTACTCTCTACTTCTTACATGTTGAACTCAAATACCTGTACTTTCTACTTCTCACATGTTGAACTCAAATACCTGTACTTTCTACTTCTCTCATGTTGAACTCAAATACCTGTACTTTCTACTTCTTACATGTTGAACTCAAATACCTGTTCTTTCTACTTCTTACATGTTGAACCCAAATACCTGTACTTTCTACTTCTTACATGTTGAACTCAAATACCTGTACTTTCTACTTCTCACATGTTGAACTCAAATACCTGTACTTTCTACTTCTTACATGTTGAACACAAATACCTGTACTTTCTACTTCTTACATGTTGAACTCAAATACCTGTACTTTCTACTTCTCACATGTTGAACTCAAATACCTGTACTTTCTACTTCTTACATGTTGAACTCAAATACCTGTACTTCTACTTCTCACATGTTGAACTCAAATACCTGTACTTTCTACTTCTTACATGTTGAACTCAAATACCTGTACTTTCTACTTCTCACATGTTGAACTCAAATACCTGTACTTTCTACTTCTTACATGTTGAACTCAAATACCTGTACTTTCTACTTCTTACATGTTGAACACAAATACCTGAACTTTCTACTTCTTACATGTTGAACTCAAATACCTGTACTTTCTACTTCTCACATGTTGAACTCAAATACCTGTACTTTCTACTTCTTACATGTTGAACTCAAATACCTGTACTTTCTACTTCTCACATGTTGAACTCAAATACCTGTACTTTCTACTTCTTACATGTTGAACTCAAATACCTGTACTTTCTACTTCTCACATGTTGAACTCAAATACCTGTACTTTCTACTTCTACATGTTGAACACAAATACCTGAACTTTCTACTTCTTACATGTTGAACCCAAATACCTGTACTTTCTACTTCTTACATGTTGAACCCAAATACCTGTACTTTCTACTTCTTACATGTTGAACCCAAATACCTGAACTTTCTACTTCTCACATGTTGAACTCAAATACCTGTACTTTCTACTTCTTACATGTTGAACCCAAATACCTGTACTTTCTACTTCTTACATGTTGAACTCAAATACCTGTACTTTCTACTTCTTACATGTTGAACCCAAATACCTGAACTTTCTACTTCTTACATGTTGAACACAAATACCTGTACTTTCTACTTCTTACATGTTGAACCCAAATACCTGAACTTTCTACTTCTTACATGTTGAACCCAAATACCTGTACTTTCTACTTCTTACATGTTGAACTCAAATACCTGTACTTTCTACTTCTCACATGTTGAACTCAAATACCTGTACTTTCTACTTCTTACATGTTGAACCCAAATACCTGTACTTTCTACTTCTTACATGTTGAACACAAATACCTGTACTTTCTACTTCTCACATGTTGAACTCAAATACCTGTACTTTCTACTTCTTACATGTTGAACCCAAATACCTGTACTTTCTACTTCTTACATGTTGAACACAAATACCTGTACTTTCTACTTCTTACATGTTGAACTCAAATACCTGTACTTTCTACTTCTCACATGTTGAACTCAAATACCTGTACTTTCTACTTCTCACATGTTGAACTCAAATACCTGTACTTTCTACTTCTCACATGTTGAACACAAATACCTGTACTTTCTACTTCTCACATGTTGAACTCAAATACCTGTACTTTCTACTTCTTACATGTTGAAACCCAAATACCTGAACTTTCTACTTCTTACATGTTGAACTCAAATACCTGTACTTTCTACTTCTTACATGTTGAACTCAAATACCTGTACTTTCTACTTCTCACATGTTGAACTCAAATACCTGTACTTTCTACTTCTTACATGTTGAACTCAAATACCTGTACTTTCTACTTCTTACATGTTGAACTCAAATACCTGTACTTTCTACTTCTCACATGTTGAACTCAAATACCTGTACTTTCTACTTCTTACATGTTGAACCCAAATACCTGTACTTTCTACTTCTTACATGTTGAACTCAAATACCTGTACTTTCTACTTCTCACATGTTGAACTCAAATACCTGTACTTTCTACTTCTCACATGTTGAACTCAAATACCTGTACTTTCTACTTCTCACATGTTGAACACAAATACCTGTACTTTCTACTTCTCACATGTTGAACTCAAATACCTGTACTTTCTACTTCTTACATGTTGAACCCAAATACCTGAACTTTCTACTTCTTACATGTTGAACTCAAATACCTGTACTTTCTACTTCTTACATGTTGAACTCAAATACCTGTACTTTCTACTTCTTACATGTTGAACACAAATACCTGTACTTTCTACTTCTTTCATGTTGAACCCAAATACCTGAACTTTCTACTTCTTACATGTTGAACACAAATACCTGTACTTTCTACTTCTTTCATGTTGAACCCAAATACCTGAACTTTCTACTTCTTACATGTTGAACACAAATACCTGTACTTTCTACTTCTTACATGTTGAACTCTAATACCTGTACTTTCTACTTCTTACATGTTGAACACAAATACCTGTACTTTCTACTTCTCACATGTTGAACTCAAATACCTGTACTTTCTACTTCTTACATGTTGAACTCAAATACCTGTACTTTCTACTTCTTACATGTTGAACCCAAATACCTGTACTTTCTACTTCTTACATGTTGAACCCAAATACCTGTACTTTCTACTTCTCTCATTTTCCAAACAGCTGGTTCCTTTAGTCTGAATGTGTGTTTGATGCGTGATCATTATTCTTTAGAGTCATTGCGTGCCTATTGATTTGAACACGATCCGTGTATCCATCATTTCCTGGTCTTCTCTAAAGAAGAGGGACCAATGGAAACGTTGTCATGTTGCCGTTGTTCAGCATGGAAACATTCATTAGCTAACAATGACATTATTGTTCTATTAATATAAAGGGAGGTCAGGTACTCTTTAAAGCAGCTGCTAGTTATGGGTACTTTTTACTGAAGTACATTTCAAAGCCTCTTTACTTTCACTTCAGTAAAGAAGTTTAGTCAGTACTTCTACTTTCACCAGAGTATTTTTAAACGCGAGTATCTGTACTTCTACTTGAGTAAAGGATGTACTTTTGCCCTCTCTGAGCCTTACAGCAGGTTTTAACATGTTGTTCAGGCTGTTCCTCTCTTTCAGTGTAAGGCTAAGGAACCAGCAGATAAACGTACCTTATCAAAGAACTGCCGCAGCGCCTTGTGGCACTTCCTCTTGTTGCAGACTTCGGCGCTCGACACCCTGCTGGTGCACGGGCTGATGTAGGCCGAGCGGTACTTCTTACACGTGTCGTTCAGGTTGCACGCCTTCGCCGCGTTCAGACAGTTATTCTCTCTGGCCACTGCTGGCTCACCTGGAGACGAGGAGAGGAGGAG